AGCCTCGAGATTCCCAGACGCCTGCTCTTCTCCAACGCCTCACTCGCTGTCCTCAAGCCCCATCCTCTCCTCTGTGCCCTGTGGAGTCCGCAGAGGGTCACCGTCCGCCAGCCACACGCCCATCACTCCTGAAGCCTCGTCTCCCCCAGGGCCTCCTCGAACCTGCCCTTCGCTTCCAGGGAATCAGCCTTGTGGCTCTGACTCCTTCCCGACCCAGCCTGGATCTCGGCCTCACCACCCTTCCTCCTGAACGTCCTTCCAGCTGCCACCTTGCCCTTGACACTGGACCTCCTCCAGCCGCACTGCCAGCGACTCTACCGGCCCCTAGTGGACAAAGCGCCAACAGTGCCACATGGGGCCATCGCAGTTCTTTCTATGCGTTTCAGACCCCAGCCGCGTCCTCCCTGGAACTAGACAGAGACCCCCTGTCCTTTTTCTTTGTCTCCAGTCCCAAAACTGGCCCTGCTCACCGCCTGCAGAGGACACGCCTCCTCCTCGGCTGAGAACAGAAACCCCCTGGGGTGCTCCCCACCATCGGTCTCTCAGGGGAGAGGAGACCCCCCTCCCTCCAGGGCGAGCCCCTCCACCCACGTCAGCCCCACTCCCCACCACCACCCACGCCCCTGTCCCATCGGCACAGGGACCTGTCCCATCGGCGCCGTGCATCCCATAAACACAGCCGTCTTCCAGGAAAAACGGAGGAAACGGGCCTTTCCTCGACCTTGTCTTCCTTCTGGGTCGGCGCCTGCCCCACTCCTTCCTTCGCCATCAGATTCCTCAAAGGAGAAGCCCACATTCAGAATCTCCGTCAGCATCGCCCCTAACAGATGAGGGCCGTCTCCCTCAGGCTTCGGCTGAGCTACCTGCCATCTTTGTGTTCTCGCCAGAAGCCTGAGCTCCATTCACCTCGCTCTGAGGAGCCGACGGCGCGTTAAACACTCAGCCAGCCCTCACCTTGCAAACCCATCCATCAAATTGCTACCTCAGTTTAAGGACACGTCCACACACTCTCAAGCGATAATGAGAATTGTTTTGTTTATTAAACAATTACAATGGAAAACGTTTGGTTATTCTAAATTGCCTGTATTTCACCCAAGTCATCAGAAGCATCTATTCACCTCAGGCAAAATAATTAACTTTTGGTTATAATTGTAATACTCAGATATCTAATACACTTGCAGAAATGAGAGAAGGGAAAGATTGGCTTTTATTAGCAGACTAACATTTCACTAAATTGCAATTAGTGGGGAAGGATAATTTATATCGGTGAAAAATATAAATGACTCAACACATGAAAACAATTATATTTTGTTACTTTCAAATAGCATAAATTGTTTGAAAAATAATTATGAAAACTAGAAGTTTTCGTCAACTTGGTTAGGCGCCGATCGCTGGCCATGGTTAAGCCTCATCACCTGCCATGTCGCCCTTTCCATCTGAATCTTGGGTCTGAGAACAGCCCTCTCACCCCACCTCACATCGGCATGGACTTGGCTGGTGCTAGTGGCTCTGCTGACATGTCAGAGTCCCCCCGGCCTGAAAGCTCCCTGCAGGCAGGCCACAGCTTGCTCACCAGTGTCCCCAGTGCCTATACGCAGATGTTCACTTAAAAATATCAAGTAAGAAGTCATATAAGTGAAAAGTGTTCGCATTCTTAAATATAAACGGGCATACTCAGAGATACTGAGGGTTCGGGTCCAGCCCACCTCGATAAAGAAGGTATTGCAATAAAGAGTCGTAAGCTTTCCGCTGGCGGGGGGGCCTTGCATTCCATTTGCGAAAATGCAACGTCTGTGAGGTGCATTAAGCAAAAGCCAATGGCAGGCGCCGTGCCTGCACTGCGACCCCAAAGTGCTTCTGTCATCCGCCAACCAGATAGAAGCCATCTATAAACAGCAGCAACCATTCGGCCAGCCCCCGCGGGCTGGCCACCCCTTCCCTTCCCATCTCTAAAACATTATCGACCAACGTGCAACACTCTGAGATGAGGGGATGTTCCTCACATTTAACTCAGCCGTTGCTTGTCTCGGTTTGCATTCCACATCTGCCCGTTCCCCCGAAGGATTCGGGAAGTAGCAGTCGGCATTGGAAAGAGGTGGCAGGATTGTCACCTGCACAGAGGCGACCTTGTGCTGTCTGGTCCACTCGTTATGCGTGTCCTCGGGGGGGATTCCCGTGAGCGGGAGAAGGGAAACCCCGGCAGGTGACGCTCTCCAACCCCCTGGGTCACACGGAGCAGCCTGACTTGTCCGTATTCTCTACATAATTCCAAGAAGGATTTTATCTGAAGTAGGATCTGTGGCTGAAAATAAAGCTTGAAAACCCCTGTTCTAAACAATCCCAAAGAGGTGCAGCGGGGGAAAATGACCATGTATCGAGCACTTACTGTGTGCTGCGTAATTTTAAAACCGGTATAACCATTTCCTTTCGCTGTTACCCCATCGTTATGAGAGCGAGAATAGTTATTTTAGAGAAGCGAGGGCAAACTGAGCTTCGGCGAGGGCAAACCTCGGAAGCAACAGGAGCCGAGAGCCACGACACCATTCCTGAGCCACCGTGTTCCATGCCAGCTCTAGAAACCTCTGTCACGTCCCCATGTTCTCTCTCCACACCCCTCCACTCTCCCCATCTGCATTTGAAGCTTGCTCGTGGTCCTTTACGCTCATAGATTAGTTAACTCATCACTATTTGGTGTGAGTGAACCTTTGCTGATTCGTCGCTTCCTAACGATATTCATGCATTAAAGCATCGGGATTGCCTCCATCAAGGTCCTCACGGACTAGTGGGGAGAGACAGGGAGACTGATACATTGGAATAGTAAAAATGGTATGAAAGGTGCCTATATTGGGAACAGTGTGGACCTGGAGGTCATGGGGAGAGATAAGGAGGGACGACTGCTGTCTTCTTTACTTTTAGGATTTGATGGTATCTCTCGTTGACACGTTTTTTGGTCATACGGCAATAGAGCCGGATGCCTCCAGCATTATCCGCGCCTCTGGGGAGAAAGGGCTCAGATACCAAAATGTATCCTTGTCCCATTTCTTCTTCGGTCCCGAGTACAGAGAGTCCTCTCCCGGGAGGTAAGACAAACTGAAACTCAGGAGCTTTCTTTTGATCGTCCCCGAAGAATAATTTGACTTGAACTATGTTTAGACAGTAAAAATAAATAAATAAATAAACGGACTCTTAAAAGCAATTCTGTCCCTGTCTTTCCTCTCCGTCGCTCCCGTCCTGGGCTGAGTCAAAGAAAAATATTGTTCTCCTGCCATGTCTTGTTCACTCAAACTCTCCGTGCTTCTAGTTGAAACAGAATGTGAGCATTATTTCTTTCCTTCTAATCTAATAATAAGCCGACCACTGGATTTCTAAGGATGGTGGTCAGACAGGTTAAAACCCAAGCTTTAAGGAGAAATCCCCACTCTCCACGGATAATCTCAAATCTGTTTTTCTTTCCAAGTTTCCATTTTCCTTGAGTAATTCAACCTTTTTTGTTTGCAAAACTCTAGCCTTCAGGAATCTAAACAGTGAAACAATTGTCATGGTAAATAAGCTGCTGATTACAGCAAAACACAAACCACTGAGCAAAAATCGGCATTAGGAACACATGCACAGAACTCCTGAAATGCAAAGCGAATAAAACGTGATACACAAAGAGCACGAATATAGAAGCGAACGTCGTCAAAATGCATGAATTACCCCAGCTCTGGGAATTTATGGGAAGGAAATAATCCAAAGGAAGGAAAAAGTATGAAAGTGCTTTCTTGCAAAATGAGATGGGATAATTGAAAACCGAGACGGTGATGGAGGCATGGCTGTGTAAACGACAGGCCATTAAAAACGATCATTATGAAGTCTGAGTAACAGCGTGAAAACGTTATGGATGTGTTTTAAGTTAAAAATAACATAATTGCATACAGAATATGATTGCAAATATGTTATATGTCTCCAGCCCCGGGCTGACATGGAGAGGTTATTTTGATGTGTTTTTTTTTTTTTGTACATATATATTTTGATTTATTATAGAAAAATAGACATAACATAAAATGGATCATTTTAACCATTTTTAAGTGTATGATTCCACGGTGTTAAGTAGACTCACATTATTGTTCAGCCATCACCTCCATTCATCTCCAGGACTTTTCATTACTGCAAAGTGAAACTCTATACCCCTTAAACACTAGCTCCTCATTTCCCCCCACGGCCATGACAGCCGCCATGCTACTTTCTGCTCTGTGAATCTGACCGTTCTGGGCACCTCATGCGCATGAAGTCACAGTGTTTGTCGTTTCGAGTCTGGCTTACATAATGTCCTCATGTTAGAATTTCCTTCCCTTCTGAAGCTGCATTCTATTCCATTGCGTGTACGTTCCGTGTGATGGAGAGTTTTAAGGGGCCACAGCCCACCTCTCTTGGGATTACGATCAGGTCACCTTGTTCCTGATCCAGCCCTGACCACAGGCTCGACATCTCGTTCTCAGGCCTCACACTGGCCCATCCGTCATTTCTACTGCTTCTCTAGTAATCCTTTATTTGGGAAGCTGCCTAGGCCTCCAGTCCTTTCTCACGGAATCTGGACGATTAATACCTTCTACCCCAGGAGAGTAGCTTGGACCTGTAACCTGCTGCTCACTGTATGTGCAGAGTTCCTACCTCAGGCTGTATTTGGTCCACCAGTCAGGGCCAATAACTCACCATGGATCCAAGATGGCAGCCTCATGCCTACACTGCATTGTTTTGACTGCCCCTTTGTCGACTCAGCCTAATCTACCAGGTGGATCCTTCTGTCTGTTCCTGTAAGGGAGAGGATGTCATTCCAAGGGATGCGCCTTCTCAATGGGACGCGTGTCTATAGCAAATGGTCTCCTGTCCGCATGCCAGCTCCCTTCCCTTCTACCACCGCTCGTCAGATACCTCCCTGCAGCCACCTGTCCCTGTCCAAACCCCAGAACATTAGACCCAAGGCTCGGAGTCCACAGAAGCGCGGGTCCAGCTGCACTTACAGCCAGAGCGAGTTCCTTCCTTGAGTGATGACGCCCGTGAACCGGGTCAGGCGTCTGGCATCCACTTCAATCCACTGGTGGAGGTCGTTCCTCCCCGCACACCACGCCCCGTCGTAAAAGTCATTTTCATTGATGCCCGCCTGCAAAGAAAGAGACCTGTTCTTCAGAAAGACCTGGAATCAATTAAAATTAACATGATTTTTTTTCATGAGACTGAGAGGAAGGGAGACAATGAGGAAGGAGATTTAAAAAAAACATCGTGCCCCGAACTCCTTATTCTAAATCATAAGAGGGAGTTGCTTATTATTAAAAGTTAGAAATATGACAATGTGTTATGTTCTCTTCTTGCCCAGTATGAACGATGAAATTTAATGAGTTCTCCCATTACTCACTCATCCAACAGACACAGACCGTCTCCTACGTACCAGCCCACACACACCAGGTGCTGGGGATACAAGGTGAATCGTCCCCTCCCAGAAGCTCAGCATCCAGGCAGGAAGAAAGACATTAAAATAGATTCATTAGAACACAATGGGCATGTGTTACTTAAGGAAGAAGAGCAAACTGTTACGGGAGCATTTAAGGATAGCACAGCTAACTTGGTCTGGGGAGACCACGACAGAAAGCCCCAAAGCAGAAGTAATATTTGAGGTAGGTGTTGAAGGTTGTTTATCTAGTGAATATTGATTTATTCGTACTTAAGTCACTTGATGTGTTGAATATCGACTACTATCGCTATCAAAGATTTCTTTGATCCGAATTTATAAGGTAGGTGAAGTTTCTGCTCTGGAATGTTCCCTGTGTTACCACCATTTAAAAAGAGAATTTCCTGACCTTAAAAGAAAAAAAGAGGATATTTGAACCAAGCAATGCTTCCTGGTTTCCTAAGACCCTTTCTGCATCAATCCCATTGTCCCACGACTATTTCGCAAGCACAGAATCGGATGAGAAAAGGTCCGAATGATAAATGAACGAGAAAAGTGATAGGCCAGCCCATCTTCTCTCCCTCTGAGCGCTTTTCAGCTCAAATTCTGGGAAGCCTTAAGGACGTGACACTCAGAGTCCAGCGACTGCAGAGGAGCAGGTCGACCAAGGGTTCCACGGCTGCACCGGCTAACCTATGCCTTGGATCAGGACCAAACCACAGTACGCGCATGTCCAATCCTCTCCTGAAACAATCTCGAAAGAGCTCTGAGGGCAACTGTCGGAAAACTACGATATCATGGTCTTCTACCCACGAAGCATGACCTCTCCCTTCCCAACACTGCCAGGCAACCAGACGACCAGCCTGTAGGCTGTACATCCACGATCACTCGCTTTCTTCACCAAAGGCAGTGATCCTCCCAGTCAGAGAGGCCTGCAACACCCTAACGACCAACGTCACGGCACCGCTTCTTTCGAGACGCAGCGCCTCTTCTTTCGAGGAACCCTAACCTGCACTTAGGGTTTGCTGTGCTTCCTCTTTTCTTGTAAACAGCCCATGAGACCGATGTTTAGAACAGTCTCACTAATGCATTAAAATTGGCCTTTACTGCGTCTCTACTACATGCCAAGCAGTGGCCTCGGCAGTAGGAAGGTAAAGGTAGAAGCGTGAGCACCCCTGCCGTCTGGAGCTTAGAATGCACAGGCAGGCCGAAGCCGACACGTGGAGCTTGCATCGTGGTCTCGGCGTCTTAAAATCACCCCCTGCACAGGGTGCTGGTGAAGAGCTTGTGCCGAGGTCCCCTGCTCGGGTGTGAATCCTGCTTTGCCATTTACACGCTGTTTAAACTCAGGTAATTTGCTTAAATGCTCTGTGCCTCATCTCCCCCATCCGTTAAAGTGGGAATAATGATCCTTTCTCCCTTACGGTGTTGATTATGCCTGGGCCTGGCACATACAGTTAGCATGGACTAAAAAAAAGTACTCAATAATGTCAGTTATCTGTATATTTAAAACAACGAATATTTGGCAAATCGTTTCACATTCTAAAAAATTATTTCACATTTTAAAAAATGCTAAGGAATTACAATACTATTGCAGTTAACTGCGATATGTTTTCTACAACTTCGACTATCCAGGATAGAGTTACGAAATCTAAAAAAAGAGAAAACTCATGTAAAGTTTCCAACGTGAGTCCACGTGGCCCCCCCAGGGAGTCACTTTTGGCTGTCACAGCTGGGGGAGATGTGTGCTGTCGGCCACTAAGGCGTAGAGGCCAGGGATGCTGCTAAACATTCTATAACACGCAGGCCATCCCCCCGCAAAGAAGCGCCTGACCCGACGTGTCAGACATGCCAAGGCTGAGGATGTCTGGTCAGGGGCCAAGCAGACAAGAACAGAGCTACCACACAGTCGGGAGGTTCACCTCACAGACGCATGGACTCTTACAGGAACTAGCCTCCTGACATTCAACCAGAGCCCACTGTCTGTGATCTAGAACACAATTTCAGGTTCCTGGGTTTGCCAGCCTGGATATTTTGCTTCTGCTGCCAATCTCAGCTCTTCCTGGGCTCAACGAACAGTCAAATAAATAGTAAGGTGTCAGGGGAAGCTGACTCATAGGGAAATGACAGCCATCTCTGGGAAATGACAGCCACCTCGGCAAAATGAATTATAAATTTGTAAAGCAAGTACTTGGGAGGATTCAGAGAGAGAGGAGGTACCAGCCCCAGGGATGTCACCAAATTACACCACACGGCAATAAACGATATTCATACGATGTCTCTGAGAAACCGAGAGGGGAGCATTCACCCCTTTCTGTTTAATAATGCAGAGAAATACTTCATAAACTTTGGAGACATTTCAATGAGAAGTTGTTGAAATAAACGCCCTAATTCCTTAAAGTGTAAGCTAGTCTAGTCTTGAAAACTCCACTACGTGCGATGATTATTTATGCCACAGTACCAAATAAATTGATAATTAATGTAATTTTCTCAAGGCAATTAGGTTATACACATCATTACTTTACCTTTAAAAAAATTATTATATCTAACAGAAGAAAAAAT